TTTTTTTTTCTTTAATTGAAGCAATTTTCCATGAGGAAATTATTTTTTTACAGAACGGTACATGGATAATAATTAGATGATAGAATAAATATTAGATGACAGAATAAAGAATTGAAATTAAACAATTAAAACAAGTTAAGATTACATTTTTTTACAAACGAATAAACGAATATGCTGCGGGAATAAAAAATAGTACGTTACACGACAATGGAATTTGATTTGATTACACTTTCAGTGTTACAACTGAAGCAATTTTCCATGAGAAAATTATGTTTTTACAGAACAGTAGATGGGTAATAATTATACATTAGATGAGAATAAAGAATTGCGATTAAACGATTAAAACAAATTAAGATTACAATTTTTTACAAACGAATAAACGAATATTATACTACGGAAACAAAAAATAGTACGTTACACGACAATGGAATTTGATTTGGTTACACCTTCAGTGTTACAGTTGAAACAATTTTTCATGAGGAAATTATTCTTTTACAGAACAGTAGATATCACATAATTATACATTATACATTAGATGACAGAATAAAGAATCGAGATTAAACGATTAAAACAAGTTAAGATTACATTTTTTTTACAAACGAATAAACGAATATTATACTACGGAAACAAAAAATAATACATTACACGACATGGAATTTGAGTTGGTTACACTTTCAGTGTTACAACTGAAGCAATTTTCCATGAGGAAATTATGTTTTTACAGAACAGTAGATGGATAATAATTATACATTAGATGAGAATAAAGAATTGCGATTAAACGATTAAAACAAATTAAGATTACAACTTTTTACAAACGAATAAACGAATATTATACTACGGAAACAAAAAATAGTACGTTACACGACAATGGAATTTGATTTGGTTACACTTTCAGTGTTACAGTTGAAACAATTTTCCATGAGGAAATTATTCTTTTACAGAACAGTAGATATCACATAATTATACATTATACATTAGATGACAGAATAAAGAATCGAGATTAAACGATTAAAACAAGTTAAGATTACATTTTTTTTTACAAACGAATAAACGAATATGCTGCGGGAATAAAAAATAATACGTTAGACGAGACAATGAAATTTGATTTGGTTACACTTTCAGTATTAAACCATAACGTAATGGATTAAGAACATACAATTTCGATATATTTCTCGATAGAAGTGCCCAGAGCGTTCTCGTCGCTCTCAATTATAATACCATTGTACGATCGAATTCGTCGAACCTTGATATGTTAACACAGAATTTCAACGTCACGCGAAATCACGATCGCGAAACACGAGAGAAATGATGCAAAACTGGTCGTTTAACACTCGATCATCCGACGAGAGGATCAAGTTATGGGTATGATACTCGAGTCATTATCCAAGTACCGCTATCCCCCGGATAGGGAAAAATGATCCTCCGATATCGGGCGAGGATTTCGTTAAAACCAAACCGGATTTAGCCAGAGACACGATAGAGGCGCCTCGGAAAATTTGCCAATCACACGGCTCGTTAATGAGAGTTCCTCTCAACCGCCTGTTCACACTGTCGCTGAACTACGAACCGAGGGCAAACATCTTACGTCTGGAGGGGGAAGAGGGCTGTCTAATATCGCGTCGGATGATATCGGGATTAGCAGAGCCGCGCCATATTACGTTTAGCCGGTTGAACGGCGAAACGGCTGGCCCAGGGAGAAAGTTAAACGCGACGAAATTAAGAGGATCGAGGATCCTCTCCCCTGGGAGAGGTCAGGAATTGGAAATCCGTCGTTGGGAATCTCGAGGAAGCAGATTGCCTCGAATTAAGAAGACCACCCCGCGTTCCTTCTATCGATCCATCCGGCCCCGAGATTCATCCTCTCTCTCTCTCTCTCTCTCTTTCATCGTCTCTAGAAGATCACGCTCCACGATGGTGACAATAAAAGTGGAAATAAACTTTTTAATACGTTTCATTTCGGCGTGGTTGTTGGGCGTCGCAGCCATCGCGCCCAACCTCCCCCGCGAGAAACAGAACCTGCTGTTGCTGCTGCGTGGCAAGGATACCTTCGCGGTAACTTGAAATTTTTAATTAAAGTCATAGCCGGCTGCGACTTTTTCTACGGCTCCTCGAGAGCTCGCCGCCACCAGCTCTCGGCTCTTTGCACCCCTAGGATAGGGTACGGTCGCCCCGGCCATTGTGGCCGCGGATCGTTTAGCTGCTACAACGGCCTGTACTAAATCTAACGGCGACGGGAGGGAGAAAAAGGGTGGAAGAACTATGGAAGAATAAAGGGGAAAAAGGAAAGCAATAGGTATTATACTATCTTCGAGATCGAAACTTTGAAAGGTACACGAGTAAAGGTGGATTCCTCGACGTTTAATGACCCGTTCGTGTAACTTCGTTAAAAGTGAAACGGGCGAAATGATACCAGAAGCTTGAAATATTACAGCTTAAAGCGTTCTCACTGTTATTTTGTCTCATTACTAAAATATTTGCCAACGAGTGTAATTAATGTACGAGTATGAAGCTGTTTATCGATATATAAAAAAAAAAAAAAAATATTGGATATATATTTCTTTGGTTATTAATTTCGCGATAAAAACGCGTGAGTTCGTATTATTATTCATCGAAATTAACGAGAAATATGCAGCTATTGGACATCGGATTTGAACTACCTGTTTTAAACGAAATTGAAGGTTCAGAACGCAGTTCAATAATAAATTCTATTATCTACTGAGGTGCATATATACACGCATGCATACGCACATTTTCCGTTTTTCTCTCTCTTTGCTTTTTATTACAGCCTACTTTGTTTTCCGAATACGCTGTTTCATCGTATTTTTAGATTTAATTTCTTTTCGCAAAAGCACTTGACATTTTTTTTATATCTGTTGTATTTAAATTTCGAAAAGAAACATTCTCTTAGCCGTTTGTCTCTTAATAATTGATTCAAATATTCCCATGGATCGGCTAGAAAATTGTTTTCCCAATGAAAACGTCATGAACCCGAAGATTGATGATGCCTGCCCTCCGCAATGATTCCTCGAAGTTTGTCAAACGCACGCTTCGACGAAATAAACTGTCGAATTCGTTTCTAAATCGAAAACTAAACGAAAGAACTTTGTATTTTTCCTAGTTTTTCTCGCCTCATCCCTGCTTCTACAGTTTATTCGAACGCACTGTGCGTGCACGATCAGAATGTCAACTCAAAATTGTCGTCGAAACGTACAAAAAAGCTTCGACAATTATATTCTTACACGATGGGATCGTTCACTCTCGTCAAATTCCTAGCGACGAGATGCGATGTTTCCCTTTTAATTAAAATCCCCCGACGACGGACGAAACAAACCGGCGGAAATTAGCGCCGGGGCCGAGTTAATCTTCGTTTTCCCGAAGAGCGTCCATGCAGCCGGCGGCCGGTCTGTTCGCACGATATTTAGTAATTAGCCGAAAGAAATCTACGTGGTAGAACGGGCGACAAAAGGCCGGGAATTCACGCGGAGTTAACCCGATTCGTTCTCGTCGAGGTCGTGAAATCATTGCCGGCCACCGGGGAAAGCCCAGGCAATGCCCTTTTAAACTAGAAGCGGACCAAAAGAGGGCGGTGGGAGGCGATAAGAAGCGAGAAGTGGTTGCCGGGTATATGAATGCCTGAATTTTAAAGACTGACCCGGGCCTGGGCTTCTGTCCGAATTTCTAAAGAAAAATCTGCCCCTTCTCCCTGCCTGGAAACGAGTTGAATCGAGCAAAAAGTAGATCCTGTTATGATTGTGCCGTGCCGGTAGTTTCTTAAATTAAGCATCCCCGGCGACTTCGTCGTTCTTAATATTTCAAACGTTTTTCTCCGGTTCTCTCTCTCTCTCTCTCTCTCTCTCTCTCTCTCTTTCGTTGTTCTCGGTACTTTTTCACCAACCATAACGATATTTCAACGAAGAGAGAAGTAGCTTTATCCGTTCAATTGCTTATAAATGTATGAGCTATGCTTGGCGTTATTCAGAAATGATCTCAAAGGTCGATGTACTCTCGATGTGGACTCGAGAATCGCACTTATTTATCAAATTAGTTAATTACACTTTGACAAGAGTGATCATTTGAAATATTCCAACTGTAAAAGAACTTTTGCTCGTGGGGGATTCTAAAATCAATTGGTGTAGTTGTCGTTAAAAACGAGATTAGAATCTTATTACATGTAATTAATTTACAACGTATAATTATAAATAATTTATATAATATAATATATAAATAATATATAAGTAATTTATAATATATAATTTATTTAATATGTAAATAATATATAAGTAGTTTATAATATATAATTTATATAATATAAATAATACATAAATAATTTATAATATATAATTTATATAATATAACATAAATAATATATAAGTAATTTATAATATATAATTTATATAATATAACATAAATAATATATAAGTAATTTATAATATATAATTTATATAATACAATATAAATAATATATAAATAATTCATACAATATAATATAAATAATATACAAACAATTTGTAATATATAAAGATTAGAATTTTATTATATTCACAGATATATTTCTTTTCCTTCAAATAATTAATCATATTAACTATCACCTTTAGTAATGATTGACCAGCATCCATTGTACAAAGGCTAAACATATTAGGCAAATTTTTAGATAGAAAATACAAATTTATAGATAGAAGATTGTACATGCAAATATTGTTGTACGAATTACGTGCAATAAATTTGCACTCTGAGGTTTCTTATAAATCCGCAATCTATTGATTGGCCGCGATAAAAGGCCAAAAAATATCCCCAAGAGGATACACTCCTAGTCCTTCGATATTCTCACAAAAAGTGAGGGCAAGAAAGACACCTTGAGAGAAGGGAGTCGGAGAAAGAGAAAAATGGACCTGGTCTGGTAGGAATGTAGAGAGAGGCAGAATGGGAAAAAAAACCCGCCCGATTCAATTTATATAAATTCATGGGGGAGAGGAGACGCGGTTAATCCAAACGGTGCGTCGATGATATCCTTATCGTTTGTCTTTGCAGAGGCTTACGTGAATCTGGGCGCGGCGTTGGCCTCCGTTGGACGTGGAACGGAAGCGGCTGCGGTTTTGCGAGCCGGCGCATCCTTGGACGGTTCCGGCCTCAAGGACAAGAGGGCTCACGAGGCGGCCAGAGTACAGGCCCTCCTTCAATTAGGCGCCCTTTACGCCGATCAGGGCAGATTGCAAAGGGCCCTGTCCGCGTACAGAGAGGCACTGCACGCGTTGCCGGATCACTATCCACCTCAGGTCAGTGTGCAGGTCACTTGCAAGCTTGTTACTCCATTTACGCGCCGCATACCTTCATCTCCTTTGGCAAATCGTCTTTCCATCAAATCGATTTGCCAAGGGAATTTACCGGAATGTGCTTTGCGGGGAATTAGGCACGTACGTGACACCGCCGTAGGCGCGTGCGAATTTCGGAAAGAATTTCTTTTTAGATTTTAGGTTGGAAGGGCCTTGAGTGAGTTATTATATTATATTTTGGAACCGGGGCAATGTTTGAAACATTATGTAAAATGTGAAATATAAAATATTTGGGAGACAAATTCTAAGTAACTAGAAATAAATAAATAATAATGAAATGAGAAACGCGCTGCGGTATTTTATAAAAATTACATATTCCGTTTTGTAAGCAAAACGTATAAATTTCGCGTAACGGCCAGCATATTAATCATTGAATCGTTTATGAATTTTGCATATTATAGGACTTTTTTGCATTCATGTATTCAAAATATGTAGGGCAGCTCTTTTTACAAGTATAATCGGAAATCGATAACATTGTTAGTTTGGTTCACAAACTGCTAATTGGAACGAGAGAAAGGGATACATTGGCAGACGCTGTAAAGAGTATTTTCTATTGTCCTAATAATTAGCAACCTAATTACTAAAGATCTAAATCTGCTAGTAAATCACTCGTAAGTCAATCAAATTAGTATTCAAAAAATGTACATATGTACTCGTATGTTAAAAAAACTGAATATATATTTAATATATATACAATTAAAGATTGAAATAAATTGGAACATGAAAAAAAGTACTAATTATCATACAAAAGTTCAATATATATACTATTAATTATAGTATATACTAAATATATAGTATATACTATATAAATATTAATATATAGTTATATTTAATGTAAGGTATATACTATATACTATATATTAAATATAACTATATTAATATTTATATATTTATATAGTATAGTATTATACTATATATACTATATATTCAATATAACTTAGTATATGGTATATATTAAGTATACTAACTAAACTTAGTATATACTATATATAAATAATATAACTATATATCAATATTTATATATTTATATATATAGTATATTTATAAATATATTATAATATATTTATACTATATAAATATTAATATATATACAGTATATAATATAATATATACTATATACTATATATATTAATATAGTACTAATTATAATACAAAAGTTTAATATATAAGTTTAATAAGTAAGTAATTAAGAATACATTCATCTTTGAACACTTACTTTTTGACATACTTATCAAATATATTTCAACATTATTATTTTATTATTTCATTATTATTTTACATTATTACATTATTGTTTGAGTGAAATACTTGGAAAATGACTATTTAAATGTTACGTCATTCGATTCTGCATTACCTTAAAATCCCACGATCGTTTATTCGAACGAAGCAAATGATTTTTCCCTACATTATTTGCTTACTTTATTACTTGATTACATCGAATGAAAGTAGTTCTTTATTTCATTTTGTATTTTGTATTCCTTTCCGCAAACAATTTCCACTGTATAAACATAATCTTCTGTTCGAATTATTTATCATTTAATTTCAACTCGGATTTACTCGAACAAAAGATCATTAAGATTAAAATTCATTCAACGAGAATAGTAAATTACTGGAAATGACTTCGTGACTTCAAACGTAATGATGATAGGTTTTTTTATTTTCATCTCGAACGAGATTTGCCCAGTTCCGTTTCGAAGCAAAGTAATTATTTTAAGCTATCTGTATGATACTCCAGTACGAATTAAACACTCAAACAATTAATTAGGCTTTCGAAATGCCAATCCGATTTAACCTAAACAATTCCCGGCTCGATCTGAACACCGTCTGAATTCAATTGAGTATTTCGAATTCTGACGCATCTCCAATTATTCCTGTGTACGTTGCAGTATACAGAGTGTCCGTAAGCTCCCTTTACAATTTCAAAAATTTATTACAAAGGCAAATGAAAAGACAGTTAAGTGGAAATTATTTCAAAATGAGACGTATATATTCAAGTTTTCTCTGCTTCATTTAATACACCTCTGTATGGGCACCATTAATTTCACGAAAGACTGAATTCGATCTGTTGCCATGATCGCTGTAGCACACCCTCGATACGGGACATCACTAATCCAAAGCAAACGATCACTGATGCAATTGCCACCATTGATGAGAGTATGCTACAGCGAACAGCAAAAGAAACTTAAATATATACGTATCATTTTGTAATAATTTCCACTTGTCTGTCTTATCATTTGCCTCTGTAATAAATTTTTCAAATTGTAAATGGACTTTATGGATACCACCCTCTACATTACCAACTCGCGTCTCGTATCGTTCAGCACGTAAGAAAACACGCAGTGAAATCGCAGATACAATCCAGAATCGCTGGCTTACGTTAACAAGAGGGGGGAGAGGAGGGGGAGGCTTTGTTTATCGCGAACCGAGCCCGACACGTTTCGTAATTATTCGCGGTGCCCTCCGGAATCGGACTCGAGGAGAGGCGGGAGGAGCTTTGTAAAATTATAATTCGTTTACCATCGATCGGCAGGCGGGCACGATGTTTTGATTGTAACATTACCGCGGGCTTCTTCATTAAATCGAATTAGTAGCCGCGCACGATCGCGCGCGAAGGTATGTTTGCCTGTATGAATTGCAATTTTCGTAATTACCCGCTGTTGGAAAACACGCGAGGATACCCAGGCTTTGCTAATTAAATTCGCCCGTGTATCGATCGTGGCCCAAAGTTGCGCGTTCCCGTTATGATCGTTTTTCAGGTCAGTCCAAGAGAGTGATTGCGAGTCGTGCAGGACCGCGTAGCAATTAACGTTTCATCTTCGATGCGCGAAGAAAACGGTGTGGTTGAAGCTCGCGGTTGCGAAATCACTGGGTTTGATACACTCTGTTGTAACTTTCACGACAGTCTGCCGGTTAAAAGAACCATACTTGAAGGACTACACCGGTGTTAGGGGATTGACTCGTTGTTAGTCGCATCGCATGGTTTAAATTTTACTAATATAGAACGAAGTGTGCACGATTGAACGTACGTAGTTGGTCGAATCTTATTTTATTTCGTTAATTTTATTTCCCAGTTGGAACTGGGATTATTTACTTGTTACTTTCTATTAATATTAATCGTTCATTTACAAGAAATTTTAACCCGGCAATTTCTCATCCCGAGACGTATTTTTATATCGAAGTCTTCGTTTTGTAAAATGATCGTAAACGCGACTATTAAATACATATCCGTTACAGTGAAATAAGTAAACAAAGCAGCATGCAAACTTACGTTCTGCATAATTTAACTTTCAAATTAAAAGAAGAAAAGTTCATTACATGCACTCATTTACTACTCATAGTACAACCAGTATATTGAAATATATTTGTAAATATGCAAGTAATTTATTTGCATTAGCTTCAAATACGTTTCAAGAACTAATTTTATTTAACTATAGATTCTAGTACTTGTAGAATGTCCAGATGTAATTCGATTGCTTCAATACAGTTTCCTGAACAATTATAAGGAAACGAAATATTGTTTACATTGTTATTCGATCCCATTCAGGGACGCAAGAAGCAGAGTACGCGCAGAGATGCGAGAAGCAGCAGCAATATCGACGTTGTTTGCATCGCTTACAAAAAAAAAAAAAAAAAAAATATAAGTCCCGCGCATATAAGTCGACTGTAAATATGATTTTCAGTCGCGTCGTAAACCAAAATTAAAAATTTTAAACTCGTCGTAATCCTGCGCGATCGTTCTCCCCCACCCCCTCACTCTTCCACCCTTCGTCTCTCGGTTCGCGGTCTATTTCTCCCGTTCATTTCCTCGTGCATCGCGTCCTCTTTTTTTCCCTCACAACGCGTCCGCGTCGCGTTTAACTCTTTCAATTTTCATTTAATCTCCTGCGAATTTCCGTGCGAAAACCTGTCGGAGGGAAAACCTCTCCTCTCTCGCGCGAGCACAGCCGCCACGCGAGTACTTTCTTTCAACCTCTTGCGCTGGAATAACGTGCCACGCACGTCGAGAACTTTTTGTCCTAAAATTGCAATATTTTCTGTATTTACTCTAAGTATATTTAACTATAACTATGTTTAAATATATTTAAGTATAACTCGTATTTAATAATAAATTTATTACTTCTCTATCCATGCGAACGAGTTCGAAAAGAAAGCGACGAATTATTGTATACGGTTCGGTCACTCGTTATGGTCCGCAATCAGTTGCCAGCGCAAGTGGTTAAATGGCGGTTAGTCGCCAGTCGGAGAAAATAACTTGAATTGATAACACCTCGATTGTCCTCGGTGAAACAAAGTTATTACGGCCTAGGTTCAAGGTTTTTCAATGAGATGTTGTTGCATCACAGACGTTTATTTGTACAAAGCTACGACGAAATTACGGAAAGCCAGATAAACAATAGAGGGCGGCCTAGAGAAGAATTAACACACCTTGATCTCTACTATTTTTTCTTCATAAAATACAAAGAAAGCCATAGTGATTCTTCAAAGATTTCCGTCGTCTAGTTTTTTTTTTTTTTCTTTTCAAATGAAATCATATCACTTTCTGAGTCATTGATAAACGCAGTCTGACGTTCTCCGACGTGTACTTACGCACGTCGACAAACTATTAACTATATTACCTCTGTAGTGAATAACTTATGTTAACGAATTATTTATATAATAACTATATTATTATATATTATTATATTTTAACATTTAAAATATTTATATAAATATTTAAAATATAAATATTTTAAATATTATAACTATATTTATATAATAACTATAATAATAATACGTTAAATTATATCAACTATTTACTATTTAACTTTCATTTAAATATCCAACATTGGCGAGAATGTTCATGTTTGCATACACCCTGTATACATGTTTATGTAAATGAAATAGGAACTTGCAAGGGATTCGTAATTATGCAGGGTGCACGCCTGTATCGCGGAAAATACTCA